ATGGATTGCGTTCAATCACCACACTGCTTGGGGGTCTGGTGTGGCGTGGCACATGGCACACAGACACCAGGCGCCAGGCCGTTCTACATGGGTTTTGTGGAGCCTCCGAGCTCCAGCCCCGCTCCAGCCATCGATGTCGGGCTAGATCGAAGAGACCAATGCCGCGTCTGAAACCACTATGACGTAGAACCGAAACCAGATGACGCTTCAGCTTCATCCATTTGTAATCATTTGTATATTCATGAATAGTCCAGGGCCTCAGGGAATCGTTAAAGGGCATGCTGGCGCCTTGATGGAGATCTGCACGCCGACGCCTTGATTTTCGAGCACCTCCGCAGATCCGCGGGTTCTTCGGTCCAATGGAACACCGCCCGGTTTTCGGTGCTTCCTTTCGCGGGGGACGACATGGACGAAGCCGCTGAGAGATGGGGGAAAACCATGTGCCCAAAAGGGCTGACCCAGACGCGACCCGTTCGGCGCCTCATATGCCAGGACCTTCAAAGTGACCTCTTTGGAGTCTCTAAGTGACCTCTTTAGGGACTAAGTGACCTCATTCTAGGATCTCAAAAGGTCGCTTTGAAGGTCCTGGTGGAGGGGTCAGGGGTCTCAAAACCCGCTTTTTGAGGGACCCGGAAAGGGCTGTGAACGGAGCATCTGGGTGTAAACCCATTTCTTGCCCCAATGTGGAACCCCCTGTTTGGCACAATGATGCACAATGCATAAGATGTGACTTGCAAGAATTTCTGCTGGCCCCATGTTGTTGCGGCACACCTCCGTGACACAGTGTGCAATGCCCAGCTTCCGCCGAGCGGCTCGCTCGAGCGGACGTCCGTGGTGTGCTGCACCGACGTTCTCATCGGTGGATCCAGGACTTTGTGGAAGAACTCCTGAACGCTGCCTTCAAACCCATGTGGCCAGCGGTTGGGGGGCTCGATCCCGGAAACGGTCGCGGGTTCGGGACATCACCTGAAACCCGGGGAAGGCCGATCTTGGCGTGCACAGGCACGGACAAAGGGGAACACACCTCGTTTTGGGGAGGGGGGTCATCCAGTGCTATACTTAGCCCAAGGCATCCAGGCAAACCACTACGTTAGCTGGAGTCCCAGTGGTTCCACTTCGACATACTTCGACTAAAACCAGTCCGACCGGTTCCGAAGGGCCCCTGGTTCCTTAGTACTGTGGATCCACTAAGATCGACTGGGCACCTGACACCGATAGACACCAGACACCCGAGCTCTACTGGGATCCACTGGGTAGGTTCATCTCCATAAACATGGTGGCCGCTTCTGATCTGGAAGCTGTGTCGGATATGTAGGGACAGGGGGGTGCATCCGTTGAAAAACGGCGTGTTTCTTTCGGCCACGTCGCCACGTCTCCATGTAGTCTAAGTGCCTAAGGAGCTGTTTTGGCAGTCCTTTTTTGTTTCTGATTTCACCAGCAGTCCCAGTGGGTTGGCGAACCATGTCGCACATGGAAGACCCAACGAACCACGAACCACGAACCACAAACCAACGGCTTCTTAGTTGATCCCTCCGAGCCTCAGAGACGTCCATCCCGTCGCTGGGACGGCATACCACGACGTGGCGAGCGATGTCGCGAGTTCGGGCCGCGAGTGCAGGGCCTCCGGGGCCTCCGGTGCCACCAGCCACTCTAGACTAGAGCCTCTACAGGTCCAGGTCGACCGGTGTAGAGCGGACAGGGTCTAGCTCTGAGGCTACCGGGTTGTAACAGCCGACCAAATGCCGTAGAGGTAGACACCTGTAGACACCGATAGACACCTGTAGACACCCGAGCTCTCCGGACCCCGGGCGGCTCGATCCTCGGCTCGATACAGCGACTCTACCTACCGTCGTCGCCTCGTCTGAGGCTGTCTCCTTGCGGGGAGCCCGGTCACCACGTGCTCGATGCGAGGATTTGAGCCGAGTCGGTGGGTTGAACATGTTGTATCTTGGAGTCGGAGGGTCAAAAACAGTTACTTTTCAGTGCCAGGTTTAGTTGTCAGTGAGATGGTCAAACGTCTAGGTCCTCTAGGTGTCAACATGAAGCCTCAGTGAATTGAAGGCGGCTTGGGTCCTATCTTTTGCTCTCAAACTATTGCTATAAATACAGCTACTCCCATTCCATTTCAGAGTTGAGGCACCAAAAATGTTGGAGAAATCAACGAGGAATTGAGAAATCACGCGGCTCAACGTCGGAGGGAGAGTGCGAGTGAACGCCGGTGTCCACTACTAGGGTGTCTAGGACTGGACTGGACGACGGTCACCCGGTGTGACTGGACGACGGTAGCACAGAAGATCTCAACAAAGTAGGGACCATGAAACAGACCGGAACGAAAGAGCCCTCAAAAAGGCTGCCAGAGCCAAAAGGGCTTGAGGATCAGGGTCAACGAGAAAGTTCATGTGTGAAACCTAGTTTCTTAGATACAGCAACCAGCTCTTGTGGTCAGATTTCGACCTGTTTTTCAGCCGTTTTCTATTGTTCGTTATTGTTCTCAATCACAACTTGATGCAAGGGTCCATTCGAACCTGCCCGATGAATCCCGATGATCTGCTTGATTCATGAAATTCCGACTCAGGAAAGTGACCTAAGGATGACCTCCAACCTAACAGCGATGGCCTCCAACCTAAGGATGACCTCCAACCTAAGGATGACCTCCAACCTAACAGCGATGGCCTCCAACCTAAGGATGACCTCCAACCTAAGGATGACCTCCAACCTAACAGCGATGGCCTCCAACCTAAGGATGACCTCCAACCTACTAGCGACGGAAAACCACGAATTTGGTGCCCAAGCTCTGACTGCCAAGCTATCTCACTTGGACCCTGCATACCGGAAGCCTGGTGGTGCAGATGTGCGGTGAAGAATGAGATGCATTTCGCTGCAGAAATACCCTCTGACTCGCGTCACATGGAAGTGGAGCGGCATGATCCCATTGGAAGACGACGTTCCTTTTCCAACCAAGCATTTTTCCAGTTCCATGTGTTCCTCAGAGTGTACTCCTTTTTAGGAAGGGCCTTCGTTTCGGGCGCCCCCATGAGCTCTAGGCGAAGGAGATCTCCGATCGCCTCGGTGCCGTGCCTCGCCGAGGCTTCGCTACCTCTTGCAGCAGCTGATCGCTTTACTTCAAGAGAAGAAGCAGGCACGGCACGAGTCTAGGGTGGAAGGCATCTAGGGTGGAGACAATCGCTACTAGGTTGAAGGCCATCACTATTAGGTTCCTTTTGCGTTGAGCACCGCAACATGCAGTCCCACCGAGCAGGAATCGTTTGAAGGCACAGAACATACCGCAATGGCCCTGACATACAGAATCTGTATGAGATATGGAATCTGAGCATATCTGAGCGACATGTGACATACAGAATCTAGGTACTGACAATCATTTTTAGCATCTACTTTCTTTTGGGTTGGGTTGACTTGGTACATCGACCCACCAGAAACTCATTACCCAGACACTCCACAGGTATATTGGGTGGTTTGGAGGGTTACTGGCATATAACTACTGATTATACATGGAGTGTTTGGGATATAGAATCTCTGTGAGATGTGTAGGGCCTTCTTCGCCACAAGTGTCGAAAAGCCGTGAACATGTGGCTTTGGGGGCCCCAAGAAGGAAGATGAGTAAGGAGTTGAAGCCCCAACATGTGGCTTTGTGGCTTTTTTTGGGGGGGTTTTGGAGTAAGGAGTTGACCTGTTCCGGTAGCGGCCGGCGACTGCCTTTTTTCACGTGAACGGCATCTGTCATTTGAGAAGACACATTGGCACTGTGAGGCATGAAGCTCTCCCAGCATGCGCAAAGCCCCTCTGTAGTTCTTGACCTGCTTTGCAACAGCACTAGGATTCAAGCGGTCTCTGAACATGATCCACATTTCATGTGACTGGGAGATTTCTGGACCACATAAGGCGCCCCCGGATGGTTGTGGGAGTGGCAAGCATCCCATCGAGTATTTCCCAGACACTCCAAGTGTTTGGCATCACTTTAAACTCTATGCTTACACCACCTAGAAGCGATGGCCTCCAACCTAGAAGCAATTCAATTAATTCTTATCATGTCTTTTTTTTAAAGAAGATCTATCATTTATCCATATATATATATATATACTGTAGCTACATTGGGGTGGTTGTTTTGAGGGTTCCATAGGGCGGCGATGCCATCAATCATATCTCGGCGGTGTGAGAATTCCGATCTGAGTTTGGACGCTTCGATGTTTCAGAAGGTGCTTTGACGTCAGTGATTTCAACATAGTTCAACTCTCAAAAGGGATTTGTGTGCAATGACGACCGGTTGGCTTTTTTGGGGTTCAGAAAGGTTGTATTTTCCAGGGATCTCCGGCGGCTCAGGAGTCAGTCTTGCATATTACCTTGCATACCATGACTCTTATGAAATCAGATGGGTTTAGGGATTTTAGGCTACAAGGATTAAGCTTAACCCCCGAATCATTCGACCAAGTACCAGAAGACTGCAAGCATGTTATTCAGACTTTTTGGCTTCAGGTTCATCATCTTTACGCATCCCTGTCCTCTCTGAAAACGCAAAGGCAACAAGGCGAGCTTTTCCTTCTCGTCTGAGACGCTGCTGACTCGTCTGAGGGCGTCTCAAAACGGCCACTCGCCGATGTGAAGAGACTCGCCGTGCGCGTCTAGGCGGGCGATATCACCGTGCGCGAGTTCGCTCTGAAGCTCTTGTGACAGCGACATGTTTGGAGGGACGAGGATGGACGTTTGGGGCGAAGGTGTGAACAGAAGATGGAGCACGGATGCGAGAGCCGTTTGGCGGGTGGCCTTTTTTGGGCGCGACAACGAGCTGTTTTTTCGTTGGCAAGGCCCACACCTTTGAATGCTGGTCAAGCAAGTTGTTGAATGGGAAATCGACAGGGAAAGTTGAGCTTCTTCTTGATAGTGCAATGAGCTTTGATAAACATCTCATAGCCGTGATCTTCTGAACATTTCTGAACTATTGGAAATGGAACTATTGGACATGCATGGGAATAAATTCGCCGGTGAGCTTTATTGCTCAAACAGATGCTGCAATAGCCCAGGCCAACGACTTGATATGAGAGAGCATGTTTGCTTTTGTTCTCTTTCGTGTCCTTCTTCCCTTGCAGCCCGTATTTGCGGCCCGGAAGGTTTGCGGCCATGGTCCGCATGGTCGTTTTTCTGCGGCTCCTGCCTGTCGCTGTGGTGGCCTTGTACAACACAGCCTTCGTTGGCACAGAAAAACAGCGACGCACGGTGCGCCGAGTGGCTCGAATCTGAAGCTCAGCTCGTCCGCTTCGCACCAGACCTCCCCATGAAGGCTCGTGACTTTTGGCGGAGGAAGCCTCCAGTTACGAGCATTCGACTGTAACAAGAGCTTCCCCCAAAGGTTGACCGACCGTGTTTGAAAACGCTGGAAAGGCTGCAACTGAACAGGCTTTCCTGCAAACGGAAACGGTAGGGATGCTGGGAAGCCGTGAATGGGTTCAGAATTCACAGCTGAAGAACCAAGTGAAAGGCTGGTGGAAGTCTTCAGTTTTGGCAAGTACCTTCCAACTATACACAAGTGAACAACGGCTTTTTCATGTTTCCGCTAGAATTGTGTGGCGGGGTGAATGGGTGATAATATTACTCACTGTACTTGGGGGTTACGGGTAGCAATCAAATTATGCACCATTTTGAAGCTTTTACAGTAACCATAAATACCCCATCCGGTTATCCAATGCGGATCGGATTCGATGCATGAGAAATAAGACTCGAGCTCAAGAGGTTGGACCCTCAAAAGAGGCCGCACACATTATGTGTTTCTTAAAGCTTCCGTATATGACATGTAATTGCTTTAGTCAAGTATATCTGAATTGATCAGAACCCTGGGAGTCAAAGACTATAAAAAGAATGGTTGAATGGTCTTTAGGTGACCCGAAAAGGACTTTCCTTTACTTCAGTCGGTCAAAATATAGTCACTTAAGTGCCATAGCTGGCCACGAAGCGCTTCTTTTGCCGCAGTTGGCACTTCTGTTGTGCAGCCCTGACCATTCAGGCCTATGGCTGTGCCACTACCCCCCACTGGAACTTCTTCGTGCCCATCACCTTCTTCAGGTGTAGTGGACATGCTGGTCGACTTTGGCCATCTTGTCGGAGAGACCTGCCAGCACGTCACCTGAGTCATGCAAGTAGCGCTGAACCGCCGACGACGTCCATCGCCCAGTCCTCTTCACGACTTCAATCTCCCCAAGAGGGGACGCTCCGCCAATGCGGAGAGAGTGGGACTGGAAGCGCTCAGCTGGTAGGCCCAGTGCCCGAGCCGCCTTCTGTAGCACGTTCTTGATCCCGAGCCGCTTGACGACCTGGCCTGAAGCCCATCGGAACAGAGGTAGGTGACATTCGGGTCCACGGCCAAAACGCCTTGGAGACTTCTGCCAAGCTGATTGATAAGCTCTTTGGGTGCTAGCGGCTTTGTCGCCGGTCAAGTGGTTCTCCAACCATTCTTCTATACTTGGGCCTGAATCTCAAGATCCCCATTGAAGTCTGGGTTGAGGTTGACAATCTTATCTCCTTCCTTCTTTGAGATCTCCTGGGCAATCTCCTTCCTGCTTCGTCGCCCACCACACTTCCTGCCTTCTGCCTTGACCTCTTCAAAGCCTTCTAAAGCCTCTAACCAGAGGGTCTCGCCCCATAGCCACACCTTCTCTGTCATCTGTTCATGGCCACCGGCTTTCCTCCATGGTATAGAGCGCTTGAACTCTCCTCTGCGCCACCTCCTCAACCTGCACAGTAGGGCTCCAATGGACTTTGCATCCTCCTTGTCCCAACACATGCCAGCCTTCTGATCCTCATAGGCCGCGCTAGGGCTCCCAGCAGCCGTAATGCCGTGCGTCTTCCGGTGGCCCGGCAAGCTTCCTTTGCCACCTCTTCAGGGTGCATGTCTTGCACGAGCTCCTCCCATTCTGGGATGGTGCGTCCTTGCATCACCCACAGCTCTTCGCCCAGGAGCCTCCTCACCTTGCCCACGGGAGCAGCCTTGTCGGCTACATATATGTCCTGAAGCTTGTTGCTGCCCTTGTCCAACAAAGGCCGCCTCATCGGTCCGCTCATGCGGTAGATGCTGGCTCTTTCCCCATCAAGGCTCATCCATGCATGGCCAGCAACTGAGGGTAGCATCGGTTCATGGGCTGGGTTCACTCCCAGCTCCTGCTTCACGCAGGGTGTCCAGCTCTCCTTCCCCTTTTGCAGGTAGGTGCCCGCAGAGGGGGCTGTCACCGCCCGCATGAGGTGTCCATCGATTTTACAAAGGTTGCTTTCCTCCTCCTCACCATGGCTTCTCCAAGTTCAGAGGTCACCAGCCACCGGAGAAGTATACTCAAAGTCCTTCACGACCCTTGGTCTCCATGTCCATTCAACGACCGTCACAGTCTTGAGGTCGACGGGCTCACAATAGAGCGTTCGGAAGATCCTTAACTCCTGCAGCCTCATCAGCTCGAACCGGTCCTCTTGGTCGGCCCAGGATAGGAAGCATGCTCCAAACCTCTCTGAATCCTCCAGGGCTTGATGGATGCTTTCCTTGATGTCGACCTCCTTCCAACCCTTCTTGGTCATCAGCTTGGCTGCTTCCTCATCATTCAATCGGGTCAGAGCGTCTGCATCCTCATTGTGGAAAGTTCGCCACCGTCCTCCCAAGATCTACTCTCTACCAAATGAAAGGACCCGGATGAGGAGTCTCCCCGCCCTGACCTTGCTCTTCCGAAGCTGAGCATCTCGTTCAAGCGGATGGCTAGCTCTTTGTCTTCATCTAGTCAGTTCAGCCTCTGACACCCTTTGAATCCAAGGTTTCAACACCTCCATGGTGACCCGGCATGCATACCCTCCGGACCAGTCGATCGCTCCGACCATCCTCCTTCACGACCGGAAGGAGGTTCAGGGGGGTTCATCTCCTTCATCATCGTCCCCTTCTGGATCGTCTGGATCCTCTGGGTATGGCCCATCACGGTGCTCCCACGGGACTTCTGCATCAGAGAAGATGAACATCGTGTAGCCTGTCCAGCTAGGGAAAGGTCCTGCAGCCCGACCCTGCACCAGCCAGTTGTCATAGAGCTCCGACACTTCAAGGTTCCCTTCGGCATCAAAGGATTCGCACCTGGCGAATCTTTCCCCATGGAACCTGTCCAGGGTGTAAGGGTATGGCAGTTCATCTGGTGTGCAGAGATTGGTTCTTGGCTGGACGTGGTTGACCCAGACATAACCCCTCTCTGCATCGACCCTCAGCTCATTCCTCAGGTCTTGTTGTCCCACACTGGCGACCCGTGCTCTGGGAGGGTTCATAGGCTCATTCACGTGCTGCCCATTCCACACACCGACTCGCCTTCGCTCGGCCATGCCCGCAATGAGTTCGAGCTGCTCCTCATCCAGGAGACTCAACAGCTGTTCATCATTGAGTTGATCAAACGGTCGATCCCCTTCTTGCTGATTTCCTCCAGGTTGACCTCCTCCAAACCCGGGTTCACTCCCTTCTCCTTCAGGTTGGGCTTCCTCTCCTTGCTCCGGGAACTCGATCTCAAGGAAAACGTCCTGCTCCTCCTGCTCTTCTGCTTCCTCTGCTGGGTTCTTCTCTTCCTCATCCTCCTCTGCAAGGGTCGTTTCCTCAACCTGACTGGGCGGTGCTCCCTCTCCAGCTCGTCCTTCTACCCATTGGCGGCCTGACGAACTCGAGGTGGCACCTTCGTGGCCATCGGCTTCAGCCTCCTCAGTCTCTTCGTAGACAAACTGGTGCCCATCCCATCCATAGGGTCTCTTGCCGCCGGCTCTGGTCGACTCGGGTTGAGTACATGGAACTGGAGGTGCCACTTGGAAACATGGCTGGCCCTCTCCCCCCACCACCAAAGTTTCAACCAAGGCCATGACGACACTGCGAACAAAACCAGCTGCGTAGACCCCGGCTTCGGTGCAGCGAGACACGGACACTCCTGGGCGGTTTCCCTTGAGCGGAACATGCTGGTGCAATGAACTGACCCCGGCCGCAAGAGTGCTTGCCGAAGCGGGGGGTGATGAGGAAAAGCCAAACCAGTTCGATGCCGGTAAAAGTGATTGGGCTCGTCTGGGGGTCCAAGGCCGAAGGCACACATGTCGATCTCGATGAAGTCGACATCCGGGCGTTGCAAGAGCTTCTGCCACTTCGGGAGGTGCCACTGCTTAGGGTAGCGGCCGGACGTCCCTGAACTCTCTGCAATCGGGAAGCCTTGTTGTTGCAGCGAAGCTTCAAACAGGTCTGCCCCATAGTTCGCCAGAATATTCCCGATCTCTTCTTTGGGTGTAGGTTGCCCACCAGGATTCTGAAAGGAGCACTTGGGCTGTGCAGAGGCTCATGCCGCATGACAGAATGGGGTCGGTCCAGGTGGATCCAACGACCCTTCCGCTGCCTGGTACCGGTACCGGTCCACGTCCCGCACCGAGGCCCGCACCGAGGCCCGCTGCGTGGTGATTGGGGAGGCCGCACCGCGCGGCGAAGAGGCGGGTCTCCGGGGTTGTTGTGCCCTGCGAAGAGGTTGGGTTCGACTTTTGTGGGCTCCAGGTATGCAAGGCCGGCAGTGCCTTCAATGATTCGATTGGGGAATGCCAATGCCATACACAAGAGGGACCCTTTGACTCACTGATGTCGAATAGAATTGTTTTCACTTCCAGTGGATGTCTTGGTCGGAGTGTGCACTTCCGATGTCCTCCTCACATCCTCCTCCTCGGTGTTACACCATCTGCGCATAGATGCGGCGCAAATATGGCGCAGTGTTGGACCCCGACTTTCACCGAACACCGAAGGCGGCCCACGGGGCTTCACGGGAACCCAGGTGGGAACCACCTCCCCATGTCGAGTGAACCACACCCCGGAACCGATTCCGCTTTTGGGGTGCGGGAAGACGACGCGCGGGCGAACGACCAGCGGCCAAAGTCGGGTTGTGCGGTTTTTTGCGGAGAGGAGAAGGCTGCCTTGGTGAAAAGGCTCTTGGCGGCCAAACGTTTTTCAGGGAAGACCTTTGATGAGCAGCTTGGCTGAAACGAGCAGTTGAAAGACTCCAAATTAACTACATAGCTACTGGGGTGGAGGCCATCGCTACTTAGGGTGGAGGCCATCGCTAGTAGGTGCCTTTTGCGAGTAGTAGGAACTCTTGGCCCAAGAAACGTGCATTGACCGGGATCGACCGGATGGATCTGATCGACCGTTGTGCTCGATGAACTTTGATAGAGAACAAGTCTACGCGACCCGTTTGGCGCCTCATATGGAGAGTCTGGGGTCTCAAACCCGGTGACTGAGGGAGTCGGGCTGTGAACGGAGTGTTGAGATGATTTCTGCGGTTCGTAGGTCTGATCCTCACATCCCAAAGTTTGAGGACTTCCTCTCTGTTTGAAGGAAATAGACACAAGTAACCTGGTGACCGAGCAAACGGTGATAGGCCAAATGGCATGCAGGATTTGATGCACAATGTGTTCATTCATTGAGTGAATACATTGGTTGTTGTAGCTGGACTTGGCTGCCCAAACAGTGTTTCATATTCTTTGCATGCAGCGTGTCAGTCATAGTGAGACCTGACCCTGTTGGGGATGACCCGAACAGATCTATCTTCCAAGACCTGACCGGGACCCCATGAGAAACATGGTCTGACCTACTATTGATGAATGAAATCCTGCAACATTTGAAAGCCTGAAAACTCTTCAAAGAGTGCGCAATTCTCTATTCAATTTCAAGTGTATTCTTCTTCCTTCAGAAGGGTGCACACCAGCGTTGTTTGGCTTCTTCTTGTGAATCGACCCCTTTGTGAACTTGCCGTTGGAAGCCAAACAAAACAGTGCTGAGAGTGCGTGCTCGACATTGCGATGCGAAATCAACCTTCCCCGAGCGCATCCGACAGCTCCCGCTTGGTCCACGCTTTCGACCGACCCGAGGATCGCCAAAGAGCTGGGATATACCAACGCCTATACCGCGCCCCAGCGGGTCACCAAAGCAAGGTCCAAGCGGGTCACCAGGGGACGTCCAGACCTGGAGGTGGATCTGGCGCATGAGATCCTTCACACTTCGGACTGGCATGATCGGTTCACCCGGGGTCAATGGGGCATCCATTCCATACAAATCGCCATTCCATTCCATTCCATTTGGGGAGTGTTTTGGTGAACAACTCTCTGTGGGGTGGAGTACCGTACTTATTTCCATCCTTGAGGTCCGTTGAGGTCTGTGTCCGTTCGAGTGGACAATCGCTTGATCGCTTGCGTTCGGACCGTGCGGAGGGTTCATGTGAGATAAAACAGAATTCATACCCCTAGCCTTCCAGCGACCTGTATGTCCGGAACTGGTCGAGTTATCACCCTGCCAGGTAATCAGGGTTTGGTTCCTGGAATCGCCTAGGGAGTTGGCTCAATCTTTAAATGCTATTCCACAAGCCCACAAACGAAGATTTGTCACATTAAACCCAAGGTCAACTGTGTTATCGTGTTTTTGATGCAATCATGATATAACAACTCAAACGAAGATCCGATTTTCGACACTAACGAAGATTTCTCACATTCGGATCATTGGGGAATGCTCAGACTTTGGATAGCCATCAGACTATAGACTCTATAGACCTTTCTTCCTTTTCTGTTTTCTTTGTTTCTAATAGCGACGGCCTCCAACCTACTAGCCATGGTCTCCAACCTAATAGCGATGGCCTCCGACCTAAAAGCGTCCTTGTAGGCTGACAGGACCGCTTGCAAGTACTGTACTTGGAAATCTTGTTCAAATGTACCTCCCGTACTGTAATTACCTCCTGTCCATGTGGTGACACGGTCTCGGCACAGATCGTTAAAAACATCTAAGATCGTCACGACAGCCGGCACCATTTTAGGCAAATCTCTTCTTCAACCAAGCACAGTTGAAAGAGCGCTCTGCGGAAAAGCTGAAGGAGAGTTCTGACTTCATCAAATTGTTTCAAGATTTGCTTCGTGGTCGTGGTTGTCGTCGCTTTAACTATATAACTATACCAGCATGTTGGAAGGAAGGATGGCAAGGGTTTAACACCTGATCCGCCGAGTTGTTGTCCTTGAAATCGGAACGCTCAGACATAGGCCTAAGTGCCACATGTTTGCGGAGATTGGGTTGGTCATATGAGAGATTGGTGAGAATTCTCGCCTTGCTTTGTCACCTATTGCCACTTGTACTTGGACAGATGAGGATTACATAGGTCGTGTTAGTAGAACATCGCCATCGACCCACGAAGCCACGGTGGTTGTATCCACCATGCAAAAGACTTTGGGGATGTACGCCATGCAGCTTCAGCATTTTGCTGCCAAGAAACGTTTGTGAACTCGCTCGCAGGCGCCAGGAAAAGTCGAGCTCAGAGATGTCCGCTGTGTGTGCGGGGGGGGTGGCGGCAGGAAATCAATTAAACAACCTGAACTCCTAAACTCACTGGAAAGCAAGAACTCCTGGAATTTCCTAGGAGAGTGAATCTCCAGAGTGTTTAATCCCCATCCTGATATCATTGACTTGCCCGTGCTTTGTTTTCGAGGAGTGGGAAGGACTTGCAATGCTGAACCGCCGCGACATAGAGATGATGAAACAGCCGCCGACGCGGAGCTTTGATCCTGCTATTCTGCAGGCGAGGCTTAAGCTTGGGATCAAAGCACACATGGGTGCTTCATACTTCGCGCAGTGAGGTATTTTGTGCTAGGTGGACTTATGGTTTGTCGTCAGGGTATATCTGACAAAAATACCCCGATCTGCAGCAAAGTTGTTTCTGTTCTTATCTCATAACTACTTAGTGTTCTTCCCCTTTGTTCTGGCATTCCATTGACAGAGACTCGTACCCCGACGACTGACCCTGGACACACTGTCCCAAGCCGCGAAAGGTGGCTCACGACGACGACGACGACGACGAAAAGATGCCCAGACCCAAAGTCTTTGGGGCGCCCCTAGAAGGTTTGGTCAGTGTTTCTATCAGGTTTGATTCTGTCCTATTTCGATTCATAGGTTGTGAACCCTAAAACAGACTAAAACACAACGAGGTTGTATCCTAGACCTCCACCGCTGATCTTCTCATCGCTTTTTGGCCAATTCGACCGGGACCCCGTCCACTAGCGATGGGAGAACAAATACATCAAAAGCCAATCCTTCTCCAACATCTTCGACGTTTCTCCCGTCGATTGGATTCACTGTTTGGCGCTGGTCACACACTCCCAGTGAGCTGGTGAACCCATCTGATCGCCTCGCCACGTGGTGCGACGTTCCAGTTTAGCTCTTGATGGGCGGGGTAACAAGAGTGGACTTGTTGGCTGGTTCCAGAGATGGATCGAAGCTGCAGTTGTTGGCTGGTCACGTCAAACTGTAAGCGAAGTGAGAAAAAGATGGGAAGGGAGCTTTGGGAAGAGTGGAGTCGGTGAAGCTGTTTTTCGCACAATCCAGATGATGCCGTTCAGCTTTGACCCTTCAAACGGGGTGGCATTTTTCGGATCGAGGCCCTGCTGCACTGCTGTGGTCAGTCCGTGTCCGGTCCTTTTTGGGCGACCCATCGGGCCGCGCTTCTAGTGGAGAGAGGTTGCCAAAGTCACACTCCCCGGAGCCACCGTTGACGTGGAGTCGTCTCCCAAAGACTCGGACGACCAATGGCCGGCTGACCAATGGCCTGTGGTTTTCACTCCGGCCCCCAACAAACCTCCGGAAACCTCCGGGAGGGTCTGGGGCATGTGGGCGTTTCCCTTGTTGAAGCCGAATCAGACGGGGCGGTGTCCGCCGTGTGGCGGTGAAACGGGCGCAGGAACCCAACGTCTACCGCCTCTACGAGGCGTCCCTTGGGCGTTGATGGTTTGCGAAGCCTGAGACGTTGGTACACTCTGACTGACTTAACATGGAAGTGGAAAATGGGACCCTGCAATACTACTGTCCTCTACAAACAGGGGGGTTGGTCCACTTCCATGTTAGCGAGTCGAAGTGTAGTTTATGATGAACACCCTCCATGCAGGATGTGGTGTTTATATAAATGTCTTTTGAATAGGAAGAACACCAATAACCACTGGGGTAGAGTGTTTGCTCTATTTCCCGAACCTTCCAAATAGGGAGGTCTCCCTAGACTTAAACACACTTTTGGTTGGGGCCTCAACAGGCTCAAATGAGCTTTCTTTTTGGCGGTTGTCATGTTGGATCTTGATTTATTGGCTTTTTGTTCCTTGCCGGAAATGGATGCAAGGCCACATTGCAGACATGAGTCATGAGTGTCATCGAACCAGATCAGCACACCATGCGGAAGGCACTGATCTACTGGGTTCGGCTAGAAATTCACTTGGCTTGGAAGACGGCCGCAAGCGACCAAGCGACCGCTGAAGGAGACCAACTGGTTTGGGTCAAAACAAAAAGGATGGATACAGTTGGGGTACTATAATGGTACACTTATTAGGGACTATAATAGTACACCTTATAGTCTTATAGTCTAGTATACTGCTTGTACTAGACTTTGAGAACTACTATTATTATTATAGTATACTTACACTCCAGGGACTCCATTAGTCGACCCTACAGCCAACAGTTCTATCTGAACTAAGAGAGGATTTGGATGAGGATTTTCCGCTGGTTGGTATGGCTTGACAAGAAACATCATGGGGCCCCCTTGAGTGGAAGACAAGCCGCCTCACATCGGATTGAGGGTCATGGGGGACAAACGCGCCACGAAGAACAAACCACGGTCATGTCCCTGTTCTCTCCTTCCACCGCCCCGCGAAGCGCCGACACGAAGCCCCGTTCGTCCCGTCCCCCGTGCGTCCCCCTCCGGGACCAGGTATACGGCCGTTTGGAGCGGAAGTGGAGTTCTTCTGTGAAAGAATTGAGACCAATCCATGTATAACTTACCCATAGGGTCCAGGTACCTCCTGAGGATGGTCTTGGAGGTGAAAGTACTTCCAGAGAATGGTCTTGGGGGGTCAAAGGACATCCGATTCGGATGGTCCTGGACCTATACATGGACATTAGACCATCATAGACCCGATGTACAGGACCCATGTAGGAGACTGGATCGGTCACTCTGACGTCGTCTGATGGTCTGACTGAGCAGTCTCTTGACGTCAAGAAGTGTCAAACGGAGCAGTTTTCACTTCCGGCGGAATTCCGAAGCCACCGACACTCCCTGTTTCACAAGCCATGGACCCTGAGGCTCAGGATGGCACCCTGAAAGACTGTTTTCCTCTACAGACCATTGGTTTTCAGGGTCCATGTTAGTTTCGGCGGGGTAAATCTTCGACTGTCCGAGGCCATCCGAACGCTTCAACAGACAGGTCGACCGGGCGTACACCACGACGGGTGGATCCTGCACCCTTCGAACGGTCGTGATTCCAAGCCTTCCAATGGCTCAAACACTTGGCTCAAGCAATACCCAGACACGACCCATGGGACTACCATAGGACTGCCGCCCCACTGACCCCCCAAGCCACCCCAACTGATGGGTATAGTACCAGTCCCATGGAGTGTTTGGGATATGGTGACCCAGTGGACTCTTTCCAAATTTTGGAAATTCAGAGGGTCACCGAATTCCATCTGGGCAGAAACATCCTCGCAGCTCGCAGCTCGCAGTGGAGGGTGACCGTTCTGGGCAAGCTCGCTCGACGTGACTCACGCGACACGTGACCCAGCGCAGTCACCGTGACCCAGGATCATGCACTACGGCGAAGCCATCAAGGCGGGCTTCTTCGGTTCGCAGCTCGGTCAGAAGTTCGATGTTGGCCGAAGAAGCTGGGAAGAGCCGTTTGACCTTCACAGAACGTTTTGCCAATAGGTTTAGCAGCATAGGTTTAGCATGTACGGATCCCTTGGCCTAGGTGAAAAGCTGCCTCGATTTTCTGGACTCAAGATCTTAAAGAGGCCATCGCTGAGAGGTTTGAGGCGCTCTTAGGTTGGAGGCCATGGCTCTTAGGTTGGAGGCCATGGCTCTTAGGTTGGAGGCCATCTCTGCGTCCCTCTATTGAGATGTGCAATTCTCGACACATCCAGAATCAGGTGCAGTGAGAACCCTGGTGACATGCCTATACCATGTCAATAGTCAGGTCAATCTAGGGAGTCCTTGAGCCTTGCTTGTTGGCCAATGTGTTTTCTTTTGGCTACACGAAACATTTATAAACGATATCATTGTCCAGTATGGGTCTATAGAATCTGTTTTGGTCTTCATTGAACGTCACTGACACAATTTAATAATGTTATACTCTCTCTCTCTCTCTCTCGCTCTATGCAAATATATAGTATACATTATTAACCACTTAATGACTTATTATCTGCACGATTTGAGTGGGTGACCAGATACCAAAGGCCTTGAGGATGTGACCTTGGGCATTGACTGGGACTGGATGTCTCCTCTGTTTCAAGACGAGCTCTGAGGAGAGGCTCAGCAGGCTTCTCTTCCTGTGGATCACCTGCCCCCAGCGAACTTGTTGGGGGATGTGAGACCTTCACTAAAGTCACTAAAACATGAGCAGGTGGAAGTCACGGTGGACAGTTTGGTTACGTGTCTATTGTCCAGGGAAACGGCCTTGGCAAGCACCACGCCATCTCCTGGTCATCTGGACTTCGACTCTGCGGTCAGAGAACCAGCGGCGTGAAGCGTTTTTAACGTTTGGAGCGTTTGGAGCTCGGTTTTCGGACCACCGGCCGTCAGACGTTGATCAACGAGAAGTGTGGCGATGGGATCATGTCAGCCATCGACTTCTACCTTGATGTGGGAACCACCGTGCCCTGGTCGGCACGCGGGGGGCGCAAAGGCGACGCAGACGGGTGGGGTCAGGACGCAGGCGTGCAGTGGATGGTCTGAAGCGGCACAGCACCCCGAACGGGTTTTGGCCAAAGACTTGCGATTCAGGCGAAGAGGGGAACTCCAAAGTGGCCAAGGGAAAGAAGCCTCAACAGGGGACCCTCCTGTTCGGCTGCACGTATCAACCGCTTCGAGATGCGACTTTGGTGCCCAGTGGCGGCGATGTCACCAGTGAGGGGGGCCGACGAGATGATCTCACCGCCTGGCGAAGATGATCTCAGGGCCGAACGGGCCTGAGGTTGGGAAGAACGGCGAGAAGCGCGTGGTGATCACGATGAACGGGAAATTCTTGCCGCACATTGAGCAGCTGGCTGAGGACAATACGGTGCCTTCGGCATGTTTTCAAGCGCCTGAATCCCTTCGGTGTGTTTCAAGCGTTTTCAGAGTGCCACCCACAACCTGAAGGGGGTCAACCAGGGTTGGTGCAGTGAAGAGCAGTGAAGAGTTTTGGTTGTTTTTTGTAGGTTGTGTAGATCTCCAGACTTTCTGCTGCTACTACACCTCTAGACCTCACACACACACACTGTTTGGGGTCTCTTGCCGCCATCCTCTATCCCTAGAATTCCTGGCCCACCATTCATTTGTTCTCAGCGGATAAATACACCATTGACTTAACTTTATGAGGATTTTGACACCCTTAAAACCAGGTCAACCGACCTTTTTTCAATGTTCTTGGAAGGTGAGATGAATTGATGTCTTGACTGCAGGAAGCTGCATAAAGAACGCAGGGTTGCAAAGCTGTTGCTTTCTTCTGGCTGCTGAGTTGGCAACAAACAGGGCTCCCTGGGCTCGGGGGTCTTCTTTTGATCAAGGGGGTCATTAATGCTTTGAACGATCATCTTTCTGTGGACCTGGATGTCTTGGCTCAAGATTTACATATGATTTGGACCGTTCTGAATCGTTCCGAGACATCCAGTGGCTCACCATTGAGTGGCTTAGACTCACTCTTGCACCGATCAGAGTGAAGCACGTGGGTCGAGGGAACCAAGCACCCATTCCCCAAAGCTGCAGGCGGACGAGCAGCGAACCCACCAGTACTTGGCAACGAGCCATGTACTTGGGTCTAGTCTAAGGCCAATTTAGAGATTTGGCTGAGCGTCTCTTCAGTTTTTCTGGGTTTTACAGTATTTGTTCAGTGCTACTGCTGCTGCAGTAAATATATTTTCAAGCATCAACACCCATTTGGATGGACCCTCTTCAGGACTGCACTGGATTGACACTCAATATCCTCGACACACCAGGTATAGCAATACCTACATTGACCCTCCTTTTCTTTTTCACCCCAAGGTCATGCAGATGTTCCATGCAATCTGTGCCATACATGGAGTGTTTGGGCTGTTTTCGCCACGTCCATCAACCGCTCCTCCAGTGGACTCGTCCATCAACCGCTCTCCCCACGCCCTCAGACGTCCTGCAGGCGCCGAGCCCTCAAGAGTGACTGAGCTGCGGATGACCTCCGGCACCGCGGATGACCTTTTTGGCTGCGGACACAAGATCTGCAGCAGCTGCAGAGTCGCGGCACGCCCAAACACATGCGGAGAAAGGATGGACATGGATGGAATGGCTTGGGTGAGAAGTCTTCCTTTTCGATCCACAGTGGCGTTCTAGTGGGGGCTGCGGAGCCTCACTTCTCGTGCGTGGAAGAAGAAAGCTCCCCTCGAAGTCTCAAAAAGAAGACGAGATGAACGGTTTCGCGAGACCCTGGCCCCTTGAAACACCACCCACTCCGAGTCCATGGCGCATGTTCTTTCTCGAAGATGCCTGCCCCGAAGCAGTTCATGCTTCTGACCCCGCTTTGGAGCAGGTCCACCTGCTTGGAGCAGAAGGAATAAAAACCCGAGGGCAGATGCATCGAGCCGCAGTCAATTTGGTTAGAGTGCCACTTCCCTATCCCTGCAATCTTGGTGGGGGCTTTTAGGGCTTGTTTGTGAGACCTGAACATCACGCAGCACCTACAACAAAAACCCTTACCACTGTTGACTATATTTGTGGGAGTCATCTGGGTGATTTACAAAGCGCCCCAATACATCTGTTGCAAGTCGGATGCGGTGGTGATTTTTGTTGGGCAATGTCACTTGCAACCCCAAAGCAATCCCAGTGAAATGAAGCCCTAGGGATCCAAGTACCTTCTCAGCAGGTGATTGGAAACACCGTTATGTAGGTTTGGAGGGTTCAAGTACCTTCTGAGGTTCGGTACTTGGATCTATAGGGCAGAATTTGGGCCACACTATCAAGCACAATCGTTTTCCCAGTGAACCACCTCCCGCCCCTCCCGGTTTGCCGACTCCGCCCACTTCCCTCCGGCCCGCCAGCGGGGTGTGCCAGGAGTCGAGCTGAGGTCCGACTCTGGTGCGCGAGCCCGGCACACGAAGCCAGAGTTGGAACCGATCTCATGCCATCTCTAAGAAAGGAAACTAATATAACCTAATAGCAATCCAACCCAATAGCGATGGCCTCCAACCTACTAGCGATGGCCTCCAACCTAATTACTGGCGATGGTCTCCAACTTGATAGCGATGGCCTCCAAGCTACTAGCGATGGCCTCCAACCTAATAGTGATGGCCTCCAACCTAATTACTGGCGATGGCCTCCAACCTTCTAGCAATGGTCTCCAACTTGATAGCGATGGCCTCCAACCTACTAGCGATGGCCTCCAACATCCTCGAACCTAATTCTCATCCCATCTCTAAGAGAATGACAAGATACTTGAGGCATGATAATGAATGCGTGTGGCACTGGATAATCAATCGCACATGAGTCAAGATTCTGAATCCAGTTCTTCAAAGACCCATCGGCTGTTCTGAGGAAGAAGAGATCCGCCTCAAAATGGAGAATTCATTGAAGATTCAACGTTGCCACATCTATAGAGTGTTTCATGTTCATGAGTCGCAACTCAAAATACACACGACTGGTCTCACATCTATCAGTTTCCATGTATTTCTGTTATTTCGTCCCAAGGCATCACGACGGGTCTCACACCACCCACGAGGCATCCCCCGTCCGACATCCCCCGTGCCGCCTATAGGCATCACGCGGTGCAGACGGCGCAAGACGTCACCCGGCTTCCGCCGTGGACGCAAGCGCCGGACGATGTGCCCAAGGACGGCCATGAACGGGGCGTCCGGACTTGAACGGCGTCCGTCGGTTGAAGGACCCGAAGCGTTCGACGAGACCCAGTTCCCAGTTCCAAGACACTGTTTGGGACTGCCATCTATGCCTGCCGAGAAACGGCCCAGGGTTGGTTGAAATGGGGTCAATGTATATATATATATATATTATATATGCCAGTCCCATGGAGTGTCTGGGATAGGTACCCCAGGTAGTTCGATCGCGATGGCCCCTGCCGCGGTCCTTCCCGCCCCTGCCGTGCCGTGGCGGAGCTGCGCACAGGAGCTGCGGCTCTTGCAGCACATTGCTTTGCGGGTCTCGTTGGAAGACGGCCGCGACCTGTCCCGAAGCCCAGCCGTGGACTCGCAGGTACTGGGGTTCGATGGCGCCGAGATCGTCAAGAGTACCTTTGTGGGGCTTGCCCTTCCCCACAAAGCCACCCACCAGCTGGTTGCTATGAACCGGAGGGGCTGTTGGCAGGAGCAAGGGGCAAGGGGCAAGGGGTTGTCCTTGTGGATTTCAACCTTGCCTTCAGGATCCGGGGACCAAACCACCTGAGAATCGATCAGAGGCCAAGTGAAGTTCACCGCACAATTTGAAGGAACAATTTCTATAATTACTGCAGGATTTCCTCTCGAAAAAGACAGGCAGTCATTATAAAGTATCTTATAACCAGATCTAACCAGTATCTTGATAGGCAGTGCTTAGCAGGATCTTCTTCACCGCTTGCACCCACAACGGTTGCCTGCACGTTTACCTTCTCCACACGTGCTTGTCAAGGCCTTGGACCTATGCCGCGCGAGCGGTAGAGGCGCGAGCGCCAGGGACCGACGCCTCCAACTCGGTTTGACAGGTGAAACCCCGCCTCCGACCGTTCAACAGAGGAGGTGCAAATAGAGCGATTTCAACGGATTTCCACGGAGGCCGATGGATTTTTACACACCCCAGCTGGGTGCCTTTCCGTGGCCAGTAGGGGGAAATTCGCTTGCACCAGTGGCGAGGCGTGGGATGCCGAGTTGTTCTTAGCCAAAGGTGCCACCGATGCTCAGACACAAGGCCAGACAGCTTGGGAGGAGGCTGTGGCTTGACCAGGGGGACATACTGGATTCGATTCTGAATGAAATGAAGAGGTTGTTTTTCCATGGTTATGATTCTATATTACAATATGTGAGAGCCAATCTTTGGTAGGAACCCGAGAGAGTACGTTTTGGATCTTCCGCATACCGTTTCTGGAAATGATAATTGTTGCAGCATCAGAAAATGCGGACATGGCTCGGAAATAGGCCCCGTCCGCAACTCACAGGTTCCAGTCTTTCCTTTTGCTGGTGGGTTTGGATGGTACCTTTCTTCAAGCCACGGTGCGAAAATGGAGGCTTTGGAGGTCCAAGGCTAAGTTCCTCTTATACGTTGCGAGTTCGTCTAGATGTTGGGAACCTCAAGTTGGATTGAGCGGGAGGGTCAGGGCATAACTAGGGCAGCCATTATCCACCAAGGTGAATGGTTGGTTGGGAAGGGACACCTTGGGATCTGAAACATGCAAGTGTTAGGACCTTCACTTGAATGCCATTTTGGCTCAAGTGAAGGTCCGGGGGTTTTCTCTTTTGGCCGTGCCGCCGATGGGACCCACTGGACCTTCCCGCGGAGAGTCGATTGGATTCGCTCTCTGCGCGGGCTTGTGGGCCTTGGACTACATTGTGGTGTGAGGGCTGCTTGTTGAGCGCTCCGCTCGACTCCAGCGCACTCTGTCAGCAGTGTGGCACTGCGCACAGAGTGGGCGAGCCTGCAGCCAGCTCGCCATCACGTGGACTGCTGGTTACAATGCCGTCGAGGAGACCCACAGCCCGGACACCTTCGACACCATCCACCTCTCAGGCTTCGGGGCAAGGGCGGGAGCTCCCCCCCTTCCGTGAGGCCCAGGTCGCGATCCCCATTGCCACGTTCGCGGAGCACCTTGGCATCTCCGAGCGGGCCGTCCGCGAGTACATCCTCCATGCCCTGTGAGGCGCTCAGGCCGGGCCAACCAATGGAGCAGGAACTCCAGGATCTGCTTCAAGACAAGCCTGATGGCCTGCGTGAGTTGTTGGTCCTGGTCGGCGCCCAGACATGCACCGATGTTATTGGTATTTGGGGGAGCAGCCAGGAGCTCCTGCAGG